CGTAAAATAAATTTGCACAATTTGTGACAAGAGTGCGGGCAAAACTACAAAAGGGGGGCTTTTGAAGAGTTGTCGAAAGGGGGAAGCAAGCAAATTGACAACCCAAATGCACTGTGGTTACCATTAATTTGAATATCTGCAACAAAAAAATTAACTTTTCTATAATAAACTTTATAAGCACTAATAAAATGCATAAAACAAATAACAAAAAAAAAAATAATACACTAAACAATGACCTTAAAAGTTAACAACTTATCTAAATTTTTGAAATATTGATCTAAAAAGCGTAAAAGTGAAAAGTAATTTTAGGTAATTTTTATGCTTTTAAGTCATTTTGGTATTTGGGTGTTTTCTAAGTGTACAATTAATTAAGGCACAATTATATAATGAGCATTCTCCAAAACAAGCATATTTGTGGTTAAAATTTAGTACATTTTTGAAATGCAGGTTGATTGTGATTTATTTTCTTTATTATTATGTTAATTAAATTAAATTATTGTAGAATATATAAATATTTCTTTTACACCCCACAAACTAAATGAAATTTTAAAGTACTTAATAAAGACCACTATGAATTTTTGTGCACTTGGGCTTTCTGATACCCAACACTTTAAAATGTTTCTTTGACAATTCATTCATTTATTTAAACTTTACAAATTTTACAAAAACCTTGTAGTTCTTCCCGCCTTAAAATAAAATTTGTATATAATTGTGGCTTGAGGATTAATATACTTTATCCGTAAATCAGTTTCGCCCACCGTGCGGTCTCTTTTGTCCCAAGGAGGCGTCACAGTGGGCAGGCTGGGCCCCTGTGGGTCGACTAATTGTCATGCCATGCGAGACTTCTCGCGAGCAGTTGTCTTGGGGACCCGCTACTGATTTTTCTTCTTATTTGCGGCTCTGCACTCGGTCCGTCCATCAATTGACTTTATCTATTTGAACTCGCATGTTAAAAATATCAATTTGTTGTCTGCCCAGACTTCTGACTTTGCCCGTTTCTGACAGACACTCGGGCCCGCTTAACTGGCACTTTTGGCCGGGTCTATGGTAGAATCGCAGCTTTGCGTTTTTGGTGTGATTTATGGCCACTTAGTGGCATAAATGTAGGTGCGGCCTGCTGCCACATAAATCATTGTTCAACTCTGCAATGCAATTTTGCGCAAAATGTTCACTTTGCTCTCCGGTTCGAGGGCTCAGAGGTTGGGCCGCTAAACAGGGATAATGTTTGGTAATTGGTTGAACCACAGCTTAAATCTGGAGATTAAACACGGAACATTTTCGGAAATAAATGACCTTTTTAAAAAAATACATTTGAAAATCCAAGCAATCTAGTAAAAGTACTATAAGATCAATATTTATTACTTATACAGACTTTCCGAATCCCATATTTTGTCATTCCCTTAAACCGTTTTATCTTCTGTCTTAAGAAGCACTTTGTGTAGTAACTCTACAACCATTAACCATATCCCGACACCTGTTATACTTTTATCCACCCCCGAACCATTGGCAAGTCATTTGACCATTCGAAATCACTTAATTTGCTAAGGAACCCCAATATTCCTGCTCTTCAGATCAATTATGAAGCTGGAATGAAAAGAGACCAATCCTAGATATAAGTGTGCCACTTGTGAAGGGAAGTGAACCCGAGTAAATTATAAGGTTTGTGAAAATCTGGAGAGGGCTAACCCAAAATGACCACTCCCACATGAATAATTCATCGAGTCAACTGAGTAGCTGTGGCTGCATTAATGAGTAAGGCTTCTTATTTACCATGATGCCGCAAAAAAAAAATCAGAAACAGAATTGAGAAATATTCTGCGAGACAAGTTTAATTAGAGAGCGAAGCCGAGTGAAATTGTCTTATCATAATCATACCACCGAGGAAATTTTCTGATTTTTGCAAACAGACTGACTGGAAAATGTTGTTTAGTCATTCCATACACATCAATCATAGTCATAGTCCCTCAGACAGCCGAGTTAATGGCCAAGGGATCCTGGCCATAATGTGCTGGGTGTTTGCGTGTCCTCGGACTTTCAGTTGGACAAGTGCATGATTAATTATTTTATTATCTATAAATTGGTTTTGTCCCCTCGAAACGATGATGGTGGACCTTTTATCCGCTCGTTTCCTTTACCTTTGCATACTTTGAGGCTTGTAAATTACTTGCTTTTCTTTATGGCTTTAAAAGGTTTTCTCTGCGCTTGGAAAATTTCTGATTTCACATGTCATTCTCCGCTCCATCATCGTTAAGCCCACTAAAAGCTGTGAGCCCCAAACAACAATTTTTAAGTTCTGTAGTGTTTGCCATGAGGATATGCCTCTTCAATCTGAAGTACTTAACCATTTGTGTCGGATTTACAGTTCAATATTTTTGCCAAGCAAAATCTTTCATGTGCAAAATCTGTTGGACTTCTTTCAACTTGCCCATTAAAAATCGTTGAATTTTTTATTGTTTTTAATGCATATGAACTCTGGCGAAACTCGAAACAGATTTGGGTCACCAACTGTTCTCGTTTAATTAGCCAAATTTAATGACTTTTGCTTGGGAGTGAGAGAGGCAAATGTTTTTGAAATATTGCGATGACAGCTTTAATGGCAAAATGAGGAAATAATGGAAATGTACTTTGGTTGAGATCGAAAAACAATAATTAAACTTTTTTAGGAGTTGTATAAACATTTTAATGGATCCAGAACGTGAGAAACTTTCTTCAGCACTAAACCAAATTACACCAATTTAGAGATCCCTTATTAAAGTTCAAGCTAGTTGAAAAGTTCATTTCTTGGCTCGATTTCGGCTACCGTTTCCACTGCGGGGTGCCGATCTTCTTCTCCAATTAGCGGTGAGGATCATAAACCCAAGCCAGCAACTAACTCAATCATTACGCAATTAAGCAACGACTCAAAACACAAGCATTTCCACACAGATTTATAGCTATATCCATATCGAACGGGGGGCACATTAAATCACGCGACCCATTAATAAAATTGTTTCAGTCTCGTCGCCTTATAATTTTTTCTGGGGGGGTCTGAAACAGAAGTCTCAAATATTTAATCATTGTCGCTGGGCTATCATACTTGGGCCTTGGAATAGATGCCATAATTCTGATGAAAACAATTTGTTCAAGTTGATTTCGTTTTCGAAAGGCAGCTGTGTGCCGGAGCTGAAGATTCGAACAGTTTTATGACCCTGTTTTGGGTGCCATTAAAGAGATTGTGTAAATTCTGGAAATAATCAAATCCGAAATATAAAAGCATAGAGATCACACTCAAAATTCTTCAAGAAGTCATAAAAATTACTGAGTGATATAAATTATTTTTATTTACCAATTCATTGTAAACTATTATAAAGTTGATGGCAATAATTAAATTTATTTACGATCTAACGCTTCAATTGAAAAACTAAAAGTAAATAAACTAATAAAAATTTTAGATTTTCGATTAAAAACTATATATTGCAATAAATTGATTGTTTCGTCTTGTTAAAATATTGTGTAACTTTTAAGCTTACCTTAAATTACACTAAATGCTACCTAAGCCACAATCCTTTTTAAAATCGACAACCATTAACTAATGAGATTCATTTGCATTTGGCGAATTCGAAGCACTTTCAGCATTGATCAAATCATTGATCGACATGAGCCCACACAATTTTCCGTTTCACTCTATGCAAATCGCTGTGTGGGATTAAAGCAACAAAAAATCCAATTAACACTTTTAGAACGTGCCAAAAACTTTATTGCGCAAAACTTGATTTATGCAAAAACGAGGGGTGTACATAGGGAAATGGATTGGTAGCCACAGTGTCTGAGCCAGTTTGGTGGAGCAAATGGAAACCCTCACGATCGCGAAAAGAACACAATCAACCTCGATTACTTATTACAGTGAAATGCAAACATTAAATAAGCTAATATATTATTAGTTACTTCATTCTATTTTAAGTTGACATTTATAAGACATTTTATAAAAGTTGTTTTTTTAGCAGTTTTATAATAAACATTATTTGTTTGTAACATAAATCCAATACATATTTCAATTTACAACCATAATCCACACAAAGTTGAGCTGTACTCTTCTTTATTTTTTTTTTTTTTGCAGTTCTTCGTTCATAACAATGAGTTGCTGCGATTTGATCAATTGTGGCAGGTGTTTTTTATTTTTTTGTATTTTCATGTTGCTGCCACAAAAACTGCACGCAGCCGCAGCAATCGAAACTGGTTGGCTCCAACTCCGAAAACCGCTTTGAATCTTTTTCTGAAGTCTTGTTTGATTTACTCAAATTAGCGCACGGAGCGCCAAAAAACCTGCTGGCGTCCCCTACAAAACAAAAAAAAATACATAAAAGCCTCGCAACATGTGGCACGTTTCTTTGGCGAGGCAATTGAAATTGAAAACTTCGCAGCAAATTGTTGGCACTTAATTGAGTAACTCCGATCGATCTCGATGTGCTTTGCATAAATTGAAAGGGGGCCTTTGGAAATTGGAACGAGCAGAGGGGAGTCGTTCTGGCAGTGGGTGCGTGATATAGGTGTCATATGCAGTCGCTTGTCAGTTGCCTTCGATCGTGTCTCCACATCGAGTTGCATTGTTTACGATCTGCAGGGGTTCAAATGGACACCTTACCGCAACTCTGGCCAGGTGACCACAGCGGATTGCGACTTTATTGATTCGATTCAACAATTGAAAATTGTTGATCTTTTGTGGTTGATTTTCTGACACAATTGGGTCATAGTTCTTAAGGTCGTGCAGGTGGTGGAAATTAACTATGGGCAATGGAATAAAAATTTGTTAATAATAAAAAAATGATTAACAAACTCACACCAATAATCGCCATAGGAGTTTACACCTAGGATGTTTTAATATTACTGTTCTTAATTTAAATTCTTCCTGAAGCGCTTTAAAAAAATTACGAACATGTTATTTCTTTATTAGTTTACTATTCAGTTACTGAAAGATTTACGGATTTTCTTCTTAACAAAATATAAAGTTCCAAAAGCAAATGTTTCGCGTTCAAAGACATTTATTTTATAATATCACATAATAAATTTTAACACAATCATAACATACCAATTAAAAAGATCTTCTCCCACCAAATTTTTCAAATAATTTTATACTCTAACTTTGTCGATCCTCAATTTTGACGACCACTATGAGACCACCAACATTTTTGCCATCACTGAAGAATGTGATAATGGCCTTAACAATTCCTCGAGGAACTTGCGACGGCCAATCTTGCGTGTTAAAAAGGATATTTTTGATGTAGAAATCGCCTTCGGGAACGGGACAAAAATCGTCATCGACAATTGGGAAATTTGTGGTATCGCCAGTTTTAACAGAAGGTTGCACGAACTGGACATAGAACTTTTTGAAGCACTCGCAAATGCTCGTTTGAGGCACATCCATAACCATTCTCTTAAAATCTCCATCCCCATTGGGACTGGAATAAAGTTCCACCGAAACCTTAAAGTCATCATTGCTCATGTCACCAAGGAATTTAAAGGACCCATTGAGAGCTCTCTCCCGGCCAACAGTTTTTAGTCCATCGAAGATCACCAAGGTCTCTGAATCGCCCTCAAAAGGTTCCAGTTTCTCATTGGTCACCACATAAGATTGCTCGCACTGTAAAAATAATTATTTGGTAATTACAAAATCCTTTTTGTATATTTACCCTTATATTGTGCAGCAAGTGGAGAAGTAAAACTATTATAGCCCACTTCATTTTAAACTGTAAGTTGCTTTCCCTGAATTCCTCCTATTTATTGAATTATTAATAGTTGCGTTTAGCACGCGATTATCATGTTCCAAATATATGTACAACATTATCAACGTTCTTGCTTTAATGTTCATTGTCAACAATGTATTTGCTGATCTTGATCTTTAAATTCGTACTAGAACTTTTATGAGCTCAATGCTACATTTTACATTTTATTTTAGTAGAGATTGATTACTGCGAAACATAGCTGAATGCGATCCTATCAAGCGCCCATATTTTAAATATGGGTAAACATTTTGAGAACAATTAACTATTAAAGTAGCAGTTGAACATAGTTGTTACTTAAAAAAAGGGTAATTAATTTGTAACAATTATTTAAAACCAATTAAATGACAAACCAAAACATTAAAATAAGCTTAAAATAAAGAAATTACTTATTCGCTCCTTGGCATAATTTAATATATATTTAATATTTTTCCCTCAAACAGTCATCTTCCTCCTCCTTTAAGTCCCCCCTCTCTTTACCTATTTCGTGTTGAAAATCCAACTAAAATAATTCAATTTGTTGGAATCGCCTCCAGTTCACCTACCCCCGCCAGATGGTGGCCCCGAAAATTCCGCCGAAGTCCCATCAACAGATCATCAAAAATTTGGGGGAAAACCCCACAAAAAAAGAGCGATAATAAAGCATTAATTGAAAACTTATAAACAAAAGACAGCAGCAACTCGAGAATGTGTAGACAAAAGACATGAAATACAAAACAAGCAACACACAAAAAAGTGCGCAATGCCAGAAGAACTAAACTCAGCAGGAGATATTTTACATTTTCACGGATGGATTTCCCCAGAAAGTGTGTGCCAGAGCAGAGGGCGCGATAGTTTATATTTATAACAAATTCATTCAAGTTAGAACAGGGGAAAATCGGCCGCGTTTCTAGGGGGCGGAGGCACAGAAAATGGGGGACACCACGCGCCCGCGCCTGCCACAACCTATAAATAGGAAAAGTCAAATGTGAGGGGATTTTCCGAAAAATGAAAACGTCACTTCAACTTGGCATTGCCCGCTTTTCAAGGGGGGCTTGCCAAGGCACTATCCACCCATTTCTCCCCCCCAAAAAAATTAAATGAAATAAAGTGGGAGAACTTCAAGTACCTTGTACTTTTTATCTGCCATTTTTCTTGTTAAAAGATTTATTAAATTTTTACTTAGAGATAATTCATTGATGTTTCAATAAACTTTATTTTATTTTTCTGGTTGAAATTATTTAAGAAACAAAGGCGGACAAGTAATATTTTTTAACATTTAAAGAAATAATTTTCTTAAATGAAAGACATTAAATAAAACAATTTAAAAAAAAGGTCGCTTACAGTATTATATTTTTTTCTTTATAATAACGTCAAAGATAGTTAAAAGCTTATGTCTAATAATTAGCGTACAATTTGTACATATATACCCCACAGTGAAGTGGCATCCAAAAAGGCAACCATCTGCAAGGCGCAAATCATTTAAGGCATTTTCCAAGTAATATGCAACACATGTTATTTGGTCTATGGGGGAAAGTGCGCTCCTGCGCCTGCGCCCCGTGCCACAAATGAAAACGGAAAACTGCCAAGGAGCCGACAATTCATAGTTTTCCCTTTTGTCAAATGGAGCAGCACACGAACGTAATGTCAAGTGACAGTCCGCTATCCTCAGCCAGGCATGACATTAGATGATGCTTTGATTCGGATCAGCGCCCCAAAAACCCCAAAGCGACATTCCAGAAGAGGGTGCCAAAGAATTCATCTTTCTTCCTACTCCGGCAGCATTGTCAATCAAAAATATTGGGGAGGATTTATTGGGGGGAAACGAGAACATCATGATTTATTTAAAAACTGAAACATTTCTTAACTAAATTAGAGGTATGATTCTAAAAGAAATTATATTATTGTTATATATTTTTAATTAAAATAAAAAGTTATATTTTTTTTGAACAACAATATGGGACAGAAGAATTATAATATTTATTTTTGATCATCAAGAAAATTTATGTGATATCCTTTTTTTGCAATTTATGTTATTAACTTATAAATAACATTGTTTTAAACATTTTTGGAAATACAAATTGTGCCGAATAACAGATAACACAGAGTTTAAAACCAATTTAATCAATTAAAGCAAGCCCAACTTTGTTGCAAGTTAAATTAAATACCAATTTAAATAGAATTTATATCACAGAGGTCTTATCAATGTCTATTACAAATATATTGGTTGGGACCAAAGCTAAGAACGCAGTTATCGAAACCATAGATAGCCATATACCAAACGTTATGACGAAATACCAAAGTCAACGAGTATAGAAACCATTTAACGGACCACAAAACTTGCATATTCCGAGGCTTTCCTATCCCAGATTAATGATTGGTCTGCTGGCTCGAGTTCGCCAAGTGGTCGAGCAGGTGACAGGCATTAGCATAAATCGCAGAAATCGCTGAAATCGAAGTGAGCAGAGCAGACAGGTCGAGCAGCCATTAATGAACACCTACACATCGATGCGATCTGGACCTGGCCAACGATCTTACCAGTATAAATCAAACTTTTAATTATAGTGTAATTAATGTAACGTATTTCAATTAATTAAAAGCAGTTTGATTGGCGTCTTTGCCCAGACGCAGTGCAGCCAAGAAACTGACTATCAAACAACGCCTTGGCACAAACCAAAACTTTAAACGAAAAAATCGAGGGAAAAACAAAAACATTGCGAAACCTGAAATTTTGCGCGCCAAAAAATCGGTGAGGAAAATATAGTCTCTAAACAAGTCAACAACATAAACAAAAGTTTTAATTTTTAAAGACATTTTCAGAAATGCTCTTTAAAAAACAATTAAATTAATATAGACATGAAAAATCCTTTTTTATTTTGATCAATGTGTACATAAGTGGATTTTAGTTCAATTCTTTTTTATTAGAATTGTATTTAAGGACAATGCCTTTCTTTCAAAAAAATATTAAACCCGCTGCTATTTGTATCATAAAATTGCTGCTTGTTAATGAACATCGCATACAATTCTTTTCTATAGCATTTTAAGGATACTAGTTTGGCTTCAACTCCCAATAGATAGGGTATCTCAAACAGCTGGGTACATGGCCGAAACAGGTGATAAGGCGGCATCAACCGTCGTCATAAACCAGCTGCAACTGCTGCTGGAGGATCGGAAGGGGCGGGGGCGTGGCGTGGGCGATGGAAAACTCAATTGCGTCGTTGCGAAAATTAACTGCAATATGCACAGAGCCCAATGAGGCCGAAAGCCACTCGTGGCTTTAACAAATGTTAAAGACTCGCCACAAGGCCTGCCTCGATTTTTTTTTAATACTGTACAGAAAAAAATATTCTGATTCTTAAAAAGCCAAACTATCTGAAAATGATTATTACCCTGAAATTGGTTAACAATCTGTTTAACTAAAAATGTTTAATAATTTAAATGACAGCGATTTAAAGAGACAAGAACATGAGGAATTTAATTTTCTATAAAAGTCGAAGACCAAACTTAATATGTAAATGTTATATGTAAAATAAATGGCTAAGAATAATGACTGTAAATAGCTAGATTGTATTTTTTAAGAATTTGACAATAGCACTTTTTGACTACTAAATTTCACAGTGTACGGCTGGCTCTTGGCTTGGCTTCCTACGTTGCAGGCCAAGTTGAGAAGGCGTCGCGGCTTCCGTGGCAGGTTACAACGAATTTGTTGCCGCTGTTGTTGGTTTGGCCTAATGCGAAAGTTGTTGCCCTTGTGTTAGTGTGCGGCAACTGTGTCCGTGCTACAAGTGGCAGTGCCAAACAACACTGGTCAACATCAATTATTTTCGAAATTTAACTTTTTGTGAATCAGTGTTAAAGATAATTTTAAATTAAAATGAAAAACAGTTAGAAATTAGATGACACTAATTGATATTATTATCATAATTTAGTAAAGAGATTGATCATAAGAATATATTTTTTTTCCATATATTGTATAGACATAGGACAGAATTGCTAAAATTTTTAATTATTTGTTCCTTAAAAAACTTTTTTTATTTTCCTTGTGTTTGATAGTGTTGTTAGTCGACCACGTCACGCGTCAAACTTTGTACGTGTTGTTTCGTTTGTTGGTCAAGTGACCAACAACAACATTGACAATAACAAATGCAACACGCGCTTAATTTTTATTAGACCTCATGTGGTGCGCATGCGCAGCACCGAATAACCGTTGCATATGGATATGGATATGGACATATGGACATACGGATACAAATGCACATGTGCGCGTAGATATGTTTTTTTTGGGGCCAGCAATTGGCATAATTGACTGGCCGGTCCGTCTGGTCAGATACGTGAGGTGGGAGAACTTTTTGGTTACCATATTGTGCCGCTCCACCTCCACCTTGTCGAAATCCCCCCGGCCAGCCAATTGATTTATGTCCATCATTAATAACAATCACAAGAGAGGTTCGAGACAAATGTAAAGCAAGCCAACTGAGTGACAAGGAGGTTGAACCTTGGATGGTTGTTTCCAAACTGGGACCCCAGGTAGATGTAGCTTATATAGTGCTTTATGCAAGCAGGTGGATGGAATAAATGCTATTAGATTTTAGGAACTTAGGGATCGTGTCTGATTTGAAAATATTAATTAACATATAAATTACAGTTTTTTACATTATAACTTACATTTATTTACTAACATTCATACGTTTAAATTTTACATTCAATTAACAAAATATTATTTAATTTAAATTGTAAAGGTCAATGCCATCAACAGAATCTAATTTATATCATAATACTTTTCTCAACCACAATTGCAAGTTGATTAAAACTGAACAATTAAATGAACTTTCCTAAAATCTTAAAAAAAAATCGTGTATTTACACAGAGTTGCAAGAAAAGCATTTAATTTACTTATATTAAGGGCCCGCATTGTAGTTCGCATTCATCACTATATATTGGTTTATGTCGGCAGCTTCACATATAACCCCATACAGATTTTA